CAACATGCACAAAAACAAGACTTGAGCCTCAGTTTTTCCCTTTGTAAATAGGCTAATAATCCCCCTGAGGAAGCTGCTTGAGTGCTGTCAGGAAAACTGAACACAACAGGTCAGGTTGCTCAATAACTGCATGTCTCTAGGGAGCCTAGAACCATGACTGATTCTTGGGCAATCCCCAGAGTGTGGCCCTCAGAATATTCTTTATATTACTAATTCTTTGTACTACTATGTGTGATGTTGTTGTTGTATATGCCTGGAATAGTAGACCTTTTTGAGAAGTACCAGCTTCTCAGAACTGGTCAGGATGATTGTTTGCAGACATCAAGATTGCCGATGGATCTGGTTGGTTTTATGGTTGGGGTCCTGAGCTTTGGTTATCCTGAATTTTGATCACATAGCAGGATGTCCCTCTGTGACCAGCTCTTTATAAAAGTCTGGGACTCGAGTGGTGGTTCTTGAGCAGAGACATTGTACATGTATCTCCATGGTTTACTGTTAGAGATAAAATCCTGTCCTGTGTGAGTCTGGTGGGGAGAGGTTTTAGAAGTCTGCACCTGACCTCTAGGGATTTTGAGTGATACTTTCCTTTTTTCCTATTGCTTTCATTCTGGACTTTTGCTGTAATAAACTTCAGCCGTAACTAAAACCTGTTGTTGATTCTTACAGTGAATGATAACTCAAGGGCCGTCTTGAGACCCTAGAAACAGAAGCTTAAAAGGAAGTAATATAAACCACGCCCTTAAGGTTGACATCTGAAATACCAAACTTGCTGCTATCGAGTCAATTCAACTCATAGTAACCCTATCAGACAGGGTAGACCGGCCCGTGTGGCTTTCTGAGACCGTAACTGTTTACAGGATAAGAAAGCCACATCCTTTTCCCTCTGAATAGCTGGTGGATTCAAACTACTGACCTGGATTCAAACTACTGACCTGTGGTAACACTCAACACATAAGCCTCTATGCCCCCAAGACACTGACATCTGGAATAGGCCTCAGAAATGGTAGCCAGTATTACTATCTCTGGGTATCAAGCTATTTCTAACCTTCCCTATTGATCTCATCCTTTCCTCTGACAAGCAGTAGGGTTTGACCTTGACCTTCAGTTCTTCCCTCTGCTTCACTAACTGAATTTAGCATTTATTCTACCTTTATTTATTCTGGCTTCTCCAGAAACAATCTCACACCAGCTCCAGCCCTGGCCCTAGTGTGGCTGGTCCTTGTGCCTGGAAGGGGACACAAAGTGAAAAGATGGACTCATGGCCTGAAGGGTGAGGTCAGTCAATCCCGCAGCTCAGCCCACTTCTGAAAGGTGATAAGGTGTCTTCCTCAAGAGAATCGAGCTAGGAGTAGAAGGAAGAACCTAGGAGTCTTCAAGGTTTGACTGGATATTATTCCCTCTCTGCACATGCTGAGGTCATGTCCTCAGGAGCTACACCCTGTGCCTAACACTAGGATGATGTCTCCATTGCCAGCAGGCATCTGTGTGACTGAACTGGTCCCATCGGTTCAGAGTGGGGTTGTACAAGCATGAAGCCTTATGAGAAAAAGCCAAAGGGTTGTATCAGACAGTGGTGACCATATGATAGGTCCATAATAAATATTGTTGAATGAGAGAATAAAACGATGGCATAAATATTGTCCAAGATCAGTAAGATCACACTCAGACTCAAACAAAGTTGGGCTAATGTCACTTGTCACACTGAGGGAGAGCATACGGACCAGAAAGACTAGCTGAGTGGGGCCAACTAGAATGTGGATGTGTGTTGATGGTCCAGTGGGGGCTTTCAGGAGCAGGGACAAGTTCTGAATTGGATGCTATTGGGAAGCACGAGCCATCTGGTGACTTGCTAGCTTAAAACTTTTTTCCCTAGGTGATGGAAGGAACAAAGAGGATTAGAGTTGTCACCAATAAACAAGCAATAGTCCTTCACAGGAGCCGGCGGGGAGGCTGTTTAGTTATCCTGCGTTTGTACGCTTGCACCATGCTCATGAAGTAACATTGTTATTGTTTATATTCTGAGAAAGCTGTTTCTATCCAAACCCGTTGGGACGATTATAGCCTCTCTGGCGGCTTTCCGCGATCAGGGTGGTTTTTCACTTTCTCAATGTGTAATGTAAGCAGCTCGGAGTTTTTCATTCCTCTGGGTCATCTTTCCCCTCCCTTTCAGTTTCCAGATGAAGTAGGGCATTCTGAATGGGTGAAAGGTAGGACAAAGAGCAAGACTCCTCCAGTTCTCAGCATAGATACTCCTAGAGAGTCACTCCTGACAGCTGACAGTGGTTGTCGGAAAACACAGCACCATGTGGGCCTTCTCATTCAGATTCTGGGCTGTGTCTAGAGCATGAAGCCTGGGCCAGGTTATACCTCATGGACTTCACTACCCCCAGCATCAATGTCCATGTGAAAACTGACATCAAGGGCACCTTGAACCAAAAAGAACATATCCCTACTGGCATACTCCTGAGCATTCTGAAAATGTGTGGATACATCTTCACCATGATATGAATGTAACATGAATGACCCCAATGAACCATGCCTCCCAATATCCATCCCTGGGATACCTCCTGCTTTGAGAATTTGCATTGGGCACATAATTTAACCAATGGACTGAATCGAAATAATGCTGGGCCAAATACCGTGCTCAACTTTAAGGTCTGACAGTTATCACCTGGGAGCTGTCATGTAAAAAGTCTGCTTGCTTCTAGAAAGACTACATGGAAAGGTCACATGGAAAGGAAGAGGTCCTGAGAACCAAGGAACTCCACCATTAGGAAGAAATGAGGCTTCAGAAATGTGGCTCCAGTTGAGCCAATCCAGCCAGTCCCTGGAGTCTGAGCCCTTAAGTGAAGGTCAAACAGATGAACAGAGAAGCCATCTTGGACATCCCAGCCTGAGCAAACATCTTATGTAGCAGAGAAGAGCCATCCCTGTTATGCCGTCTGACTTCTTGACCTCTCATTCTTTGCAGACTTAGAACAGTTTGCTGTATATTAACATTGTCTTAAGAAGCACTGTGGCATGTGGGTTGAACACCAGGCTGCTAACCGAAAAGTTGGCAATGCAAGTCCCCCAACTGCGCCTATAAAGATTTACAGTTTGGGAAGCCCTAAATAGGGTCCCTGGGAGTCAGAATTGACTCTATAGCAAAATGTTTGGTTGTTTCTGTTTTTAAATTTCAACTGTACCATAAGAAATTATGTCAATGTACTGATAAATTGCAAGCTGAGCTCAACCTCAGAAACAGGAACAGTAAGGTGTAACATGCTTTATGACAAATACTTTTGAATTGATGCCAACTGATAGTGACCCTATAGGACAGGATAGAACTGCCCTGTGAGTTTCTCCCTCAGAGCAGTTGATGGTTTCAAACTGCAGATTTTGCAGTTAGCAGCCCAATGAGCAACCGCTACCTGACCGGAGCTCCCAACATTTATTTTTTTCTTTCTTTATTTGTATATTCTATGATGAAAATTACTTTTGTAATTAGAAGGAGCCCTGGTGGCACTGTGTGTTAGGTATTGTGTGGTTAATCACAAGGCTGGCAGTGCAAAGGGAGAAAGATAAAACTCTCTGCCCCCATAAATATTTACAGTTGGCCATGAGTTTCTGAAGTTGTCGATCTTCTTTACTGGGGCAGCAAGCCTCAACTTTCTCCTGAGCTCTATTTGCAACTTAATGAACAGAACCTCTTGGGGGAGGAGCCCAGGGATCTGTTTTGCCAAATCCCCAGGGGATGCTAAGGATCAGCCAAGGTTGGGACTGTAGGGGCTAAGGTAACTGGTTGGATCATTTGGTTGTGATTGAATTGCACAAATTGATTACATTAGATATGATTGCCTCGATCCATCAGTTTGTCAGACTATGCTGGGTTGAATGTTGATACAATGCTGAAATCTAAAACACAAATGATCTCAAATGCCCATAAATAACCCAAGGTGGACAAACTTCAGGGGCCTCTCTGGTGCCACAGTGCATTACAAATTGGACTGTTCACCACAAGGTCAGCAGGTCAAACCCATCAGCCATCCTGAGGCCCTCCTAATCTGTTCTTTTGGATTGACGTGGGTCAGAATGGACTCAATCATGGTGAGCTTTGTTTGTTTTGTTTTTCCAGACTGAGACTGACCAGGAAAAGGGCCTGGGAATCTGCTTGTGATAATTACATACTGGGCTGCTAACCCGGAAGTCAGCAGTTCAAAACCAGCAGTGGCTTTAGGAGAAAGATGAGGTTTTCTATTCCTGTAAAGCGTTACAGTTCTAGACACCCACAGGGGCAGTTTCTGTAGGGTTGCCACGAGTCAGAATTGACTTGATGGCAGTGAGAGAAGCTTAGGCACAACAACAGAACCTTGGCCGATGGCTTCCACAGTTGACTTAAATATCGCAGAACACTAAGGGAAAAACAAGAGCAGACTATAATAAAGGAAATCTACCAAAAAAGTGAAAATGGGTATCTCTGAGTGATGGAATTGATAATTCTATTTTATGTTTTATACGTCTGGTATAAAAAAATATTGTCCTTAGTAACTTGTCTCCCTTCCCTATGAGAAGCCCTATGGTACCCACCCTTGGCCAGTGACTCTGCTGTCTTTGAACTTGGCCATATGACTCATTTTAGCCAATGGAATTTGAGCAAAGGTGACATGTATTATGTCAGAACAGAAGCTGTAAGAGCTATAGTGTGGGCAAGCCTGCTTTGTTTCCCTGCTGTAAGAACAGTGTTTCCTAGGTGGGGCTAATGCTTCAGCCTGGGCCCTGGGGTGGAGACACATGAATCAGAGCTTAGTTGACCCTCTAGCAACATAAAACATGAGTGAGAGATCAACTTCTGTTGAGATGTGAGAGAGAGGATCACTTGTTACTATATCATATCTTAGTGAAAGCTGACTCATAAAATACTTTTCAAGCGATGTACAAGTAATATGTGTGAATTCTTTTTGTAATCAGTTTATAAAATTATTTAAATATATATTACTTTAAATAATTTTTTTTCTCAGTCTCCATAGAGACTGTTAAAAATTGTCAATGCCAACTATATTTCAAGTCATCAAGGCAGGGTATTGGGAAAAGATTTCAATTAGCAATAATCGCACCTTGGATAAACCTCACTGGCTATGATATCGCCACTGTGCAAAGTTCAGTTTAAAGATTTTTTTCACGGAAGACTCTTTCCCGAGTCCATGTTAAAAAATAAACCTTGAGTGTGTTTACTAAATTAGGATTGGATGGATCAAAGGAACATAAAAATGATATAGGAATGATTTAAACAAAGCCAAAGTTATACTGGCCCTTCAGCAAGCCTGGTTCTGCAACGAGTGTCATAAAAACGATGAGTTTTTATTGGATCTGGATGATCTTGAAAGGAGCCAAGACAGAATGTGTATGAGTGCTGGACAGCACCTCTTCCCCCTCTGGTAATAAAACAACGAACTAATTGACAATGAGTCCATTCTAACGCATGGTGGCCCCATGCCTCCCACAGTAGAATTATGCTCTATAGAGTCTCCAGCGGCTGACTTTTTGGAAGTAGATCACCAGATCTTTTTTTCTGAGAAGCCTCTGGGTAGACTTGAACCTCCAACCTTTTGGTGAGCACCTGAGTGTATGTAATGATGTGAGCTACCCTCCACCTGAGATGATGTCTCAGTATCCATGTCCAACCCCCCTCTTCCCCTGTTAACTGGAGCACCACACCATGCTTCAGCTTGTTGCCCCCAGTAACAGTGCTACTGAAAAGCCCGGCTGTTTCATTTCTTAGAGCCATACATCTACCTTATTTAGATAGTTTCTTTAGCTTCTTTTCTGTACTTCCTACTCTTGAGTTTCACAAGGATCAATGACCCTACCTCAAGAGTGTGCAGTGATCCTATACTCTCCCTGACCTCCCCTTGTTGTTCTCGCCTATGGGTGTGCCTTGCACTCCTGAGACTTGTGAGTAATAGAGTTCTTCATTTCCACTTTTTTCATCTGTGGTTGAAGCATGACTTACTATCAAGGCCAATATACATCACCTAGACTATGGAAAATCCCCCCGTTGTGGGGTGGTTAACTGAACTCAAATCAAATACAACCATGAGAGTGCATTAACCATTTGCACCACCCAGGGACTCCCTTCTGGCACTGTTGTTGTTCGCCATCCAGTCTGCTCTGACTCATACAAACGCTGCAGGACAGAGTAGAACCGCCCTTTAGGGTTCCCGACACTGTCATCTTTAAAAAACAGACTGTCGTAACTTTCTCCCCTGGAATGGTTCGTGGGTTTTGGGGTCTGGAGCAAAGCAGATGCTTGTGAAGCTAACCTGCACATAGCCAAGGGTTACACTGCTGTGCCACCAGGTCTCCTTCTGATAACAGCATCCCTATTTTCCCATAGGTAGGCCCTCCTTCACAGTTAGCCTGGGAAACCTACCAGTCTCTATGATTCTCTCAAGGAGGGTCAGATAGCCTGCAGCAATGTCTATGTCAACAAACTATTTTATTATCTCCCAGGCTCCCTCTTGGGAACCACCAGTCAACTTTGGCCAATAGTATACAGACCAAGGTGACTAGTGCTACCTCTAGGTGTGGACCATGAAACATCTGTGAGGGGAATCCAGCCCTAACACATCATCAGAGGTCCGGTAGGTGCAATTGTACAGCAATAATAAGTGAAGATTATAGTAAAGTCATAAAGAGCATGAGAGATAGAAATAATGGAGCCAGACACATTTCATGGTATCAGTGCTCACCTCAGACCCCACTTGGTGGTCCACGTGGAGAGAGATTTAATGCTAACCAAGGCTTTTATATTCTCTGGGGACATGCAAGCCCCCTAATTACAGGTGAAGACATAGTCACAGGAAAGGATTGTGCTACAGGTAATACAGTAATGGGAGGGAGGTGACCTAGGGGTATCCATGCAATAGGAAGAGGAGGGATTGGGGATATACATGTGGCAAGATGGGCGGATCCTAGATTCAGGATGGCAGCCTAACTTTGGATGTCACTGAGCCGGTTTGACCTGTTCCCTGGCTCAAATAAAGAGACCATTATTGGTAGGGTGTGAACTCCACCTACAGGAACCAAATCCTTGACTGCAAGCCTTTAGGGAGAAGTAGACCATTGTCCTTAGCTGCAGGGAGCAGGTCTACCCTTGGTGGGACTAGACAGTAGTCTGGCAACTGACTGCCTTCAGGGAAGTAACTTGACAATTATTTACCATTAACTGCAAGCAGTGTCCTATTTGGGGGAGACTACTTGGGAGAAATCTTTCTGTTTCCCACAATCTCCCACATATAATATTCTCTTTTCCTGTTCCATGATAACACTGAGGTCTTTTTAAAATTATTATAATCATTTTATTGGAGGCTCATACAACTCTTATTACAGTCCATACATACATCCATTGTATGTCAAGCACATTTGTACATTTGTTGCCCTCATCATTCTCAAAACATGTGCTTTCTACTTGAGCCTTTGGTATCAGCTCCTCATTTTTACCCCTTCCTCCCTACTCCCCTCTCCCTCATGTACCCTTGATAATTTATAATTATTATTTTGTAAGGCTGAGGTCTTATTGAGGATATTAGGGTTAGAAAATGAGAGGATCCTCAATACCTTACTGACTATTTGGAGCAAAGCCTCTCTGTCCTCCAAACACACTGGGTGATGATGTGACTAAGAAGTAAATTTTATGATGCTAAGCCACTGAGATCTCAGGAGTTATGTGTTGCCATGGCAAAGTCTAGCCTACATTGACAAATACATGACCCAAACTCAAATCCAAGCCAGACTAATTAGACTCAGCCCTAAGGAGTTTGGCTTGGAATGAGGCACTCTTCCCCACAAGAGTCACTAAGTCCATAGGATGGAAATCTGGAATGCTAAGAGCTATCTATGATTCTTTTATCATCAATTCATTCATTAAACAGTATTTATTGAGAGCTTGACACTAGTCTAAACATGGTGATAGGTCAGTGAGAAGAACAAACTCTCTTCTTACATAAATTCATACTCCAAGACTACAAAGTTGGGGGATAGCCATTCTGAGAGTGAAGTTAGCATATAGGAAATTGGAGCTAAGAAGTGGACCATTGGCTAGACCTCAGGATCCAACCATGCCTGAAAGCACTTTCACTCCTCCTAGTAAATAATTTTCATTGGAGGTTCTGATACTTGCATGAAAGAAGTCATAATGTATTCAAAGACCAAAACAGAAACAAGGTCACAGGTCTACTGTATGGAGTGTCATCCAGAGGGACAAGTTGGAGAAAGGGTACATGCTCATCTTTCAACCCAGACACAGGATAACAAGAGGCACAAATGAGAATGATGTGAAGGACTGGGTATGCCCTGGTCACTGGGACATGACCCCAAGGGTCTCTGGGTATTCACTAAAAAGGAGTGGGGGTAGGTACCAGTAATGCTGACACATCATTGATTTAGCACTGAGTCTGCCCTGGCAACTAACCTTGTCTGCCACTACATAAGCCAACCCTGGGTTTCTAAATGTTCAGCTTAGATTCACAAGAGCCTGCCTTACTCCAAACTCTAAAATTTGTAGGCTGCCCTGAGTTATGCCTTGCTGTGAGCTTGGATTTGATTAAACAACCATACCACCAACAACAAAGGTTGGAGACTAGGGATGGGGTGGGGGGTTAATTCAATTGTATAAGCACATGTTTGTAGAGTTCCTACTGTGTTCTATTTTTTTTTTTTAACATTTTATTAGGGGCTCATACAACTGTTATCCCAATGTGTTCTATTTTTACCACTAGTTTGGAAGAACTGTCTTGAAAACTTTCTGCATGCCAGGAAATTTAATGCATTTATTCATTTAATGGTAATGGAACATAATGTCAGCCATGCGCTATGCTGGAAAATACAAATAGAGAGACGAACGCCTTGGCATTCACAGAAAAGGTGATAGGCATTAGTGTTGTTCACTAAATAGTTCACACTTGCTACCTTTGACCACGCGATAGGATTACACTTTCTGGCTCTCTTGTTTGGGTGGGGCTGAATGACTAATGAAATGGACCAATGAGTTAGAGCATTTAATAGCTTATGTGGAGTCTGGCAAAGCTCCCTTTCCCTCCCACAGCCATGGTGACTATTAGTGTTTGAAGCGGTGGCTGCTTCTGCAGCCTGGGTCCTGGAAAAGGAACATAAACAGACCATGTAGGGAACCTGTCATAAATCGGAACATGACCGCTTTGGATCCCTGTGGCCACTTAGTCAGAGGCTCTGTGAAACCTTCTTCAGAGGAAACTTCTTCAAAAGCAGAAGAGACTCAAGAAGAGAAACCTCTGCCACTTCTACCCTGGCATTTCAAAGGGAGGAAGTGACACCAAGAATGTCCCCACCTGCTCCCCCTCTGGGAAAGCCACAGAGTCTGTGCTGTTCTTCTGTGGAGCTTCCCCTCCTCCCAGTGCTCTGGAATTCGGTGGAGAGAGAAAATGGTGAGCTGGTGCTTCATCTCCACACCCACTCCTAACTAATACTGTGGGGGACACTAACAATTCTCCCCAACATATTTTATGGGGGGAGGTGTTGAGTCTACACTGGGGAGAAGCAAAGGTGATTGAACTCAGTGGGGAAAATGCATAAGTGCTTCCACTTTGTGGCTGAGAGGGTCACAGCCAGTTCACTGCATTCCGGCTGGATAGGGGAGATTAAAAGAATTCAGTAGATCTGTGGAGGGGAGGAAATCCACACAGAAGAGTTTAAATCACATCTCGCCTGACCCAGGGTGCAAAGTAGTGTTTCTTGTCTGTGTGTCGTCCAATACTCAAATAGATTCTGGACCCTGTTCTGACATACAGTCAGTGAGGACAACTTAAGGGGAGGAGTGGGCAGTGTCTTGGATGTTTTCTTCACTCCCCCTTCATGTTGGTTGTGTTAATCATTGCCCAATGATTAACCAGCCTCAAAACCAGGATTTTGAAGGGGAAGAATTTAATCACTACCTGCCTTCGGCTCCTGCTCAGGGTAAGCTAGTGTCGAACTACCTGGCCACCCTTAACTATGGGGTCTACAACAGGTGTTTGGGGTTGCTATTTGGCCAGAGACAAATATATATATAATCATTTTATTGCAGGCTCATACAACTCTTATCACAATGCATACATCCATCCATTGTGTCAAGCACATTTGTACA